TTCAATTGAGGATTGAATGATTTAAAAGCAGTAGAGGACTGAGACAGAACATGTATGGGAGAGTACAGCAGATACCGTTACGAACGAACTGTATATTCACGGGTCTCAGGGCCGATGACGGTCAATCCTTGATAGAATAGAAAGAGCGCGAGGGATGGTATGAAGTCGTGTAAACCGTTACACGTTCTTGAGCCCGATTTAGTGCACCACCACCTTCTCACGTTGGAAGCTCAGGGGTGTTCAATCCGTCATTTAACTCACATCGAAATCTACAGTTAGAGCATAGCATAAGACGCGCTAGTTGTTGTTGATACAAGAAGTGTTATGAATTCAGATTCAGGGTTGGGGAATATGTTTGCTCTCCTCAGCTGAGCTCAGGAGTTTCCTCACTAATTATAAAATTTGGGTAGAAGTGTACAGAAACCCATAAGAATTATCCAAAGTTTTCTCAGAATTTTCAACATCGTCATCAACGCATGCAGTTGACCATGTGCGTGTTTTCTCACCCTGATTATATTCCACTTATTTCTTACGAGGTTGGTTCATCAATACTCACGACACGAACACTGAGTGTGTTGAAATGCAGTCCTGTGTTTATGACGAATTCCGACGATATAAATTTCCAAGCAGTAGTTTCGGAACTACGCAAGCAAGTTGAGTCCCACCGGACGCGCGGTCGGGGATGCCAGCAGCTATCGTCTCGAGTGAATCTCGACTTAAATCTTCGGGAACTCGATGAACAGATTCAGCAACTTGAGAAAAATCCGGATCGGATCTCTAGAGAGGATAATAAGAATGACCAACATGTGGTGAGTGTACGGCTATACTGAGTCCCAACTAGCTCCCCGCTTTCCCGAATTACGCAACAAGATTGAACTGTCTCGCGAAATTCCCTCGAAATTCACGCAACGGTAATCGTCACGATGAGTCTCACCTTCTCGATGGTCTTGGTGAGAAATCTCATCATCTTCGCCCTATGATCCCGTTTGTTGGTTTACCTTATATACTAAACTCGCTGAAATACCATATACACAGTAGTGTGTCACCCTCACTGGTGGAAAACATATTTCGCAAATCTCCACGTGAAATCGACGGAATTCCAGTAACAGACCCTCGTAGTAATTCTTGAGCTGTAACAGCGACAAACGCATGCGGC